CAAACTAAACGAGAATTGACCAGTCTTAAGTCATTTATTATTTAATGTCTTGACAGTGCTTTGCGAGTCTTGATACACATGTTTATTGTTGGACAGATTCGTGGTAAATTTGTCAGAGTTCCAGTTCAGTAATCTATTTTTATGACGATTTCTTTACAGCTTGAAATGGTCAGTCCAGCTCCCAATGGATGTATTAGGTTGAAATTACCACCACTAGTAAATTGGAATGGTATTTCCATCAATGCTTGTCTCGCCTATATTAGAAACAGTGGAAGGTGCTAAGTGTACAATTCCCTGTGTATAATGAAGCAGAAAGATACATGGCCAGGAATAGGTGCAGCTCATTGGAAGTCCTGGATCTTGCTTTCATTGAGATACCCTGTAAAACAACTGAGTACAATGGGAGTGAGCGCTTAGCAATGTTCCATTCATATCAGGGCAGGGGATATCAAGATTAGACTTGTATTATAGAGAAAAAGAGCCTTTGTTTCGGCATGGTGAGTGAGCATTTTAACTACTTGGCTAACCCATAGAATTGAGTCCATATGTATAACAGCAGTGTATGAAACAAGCCAAAACAACAGCCAGACATCAGGGGTGGTAACTTCAAAATGTTACCAGCCCAAAATGGATTTAACCAGACCTGACAATCCAAAGAAAATGACTCAGTTTTTAGTTACAATGAATAATGAGCCTGACACATGTATTTACTGTTTAACAGTCTATTCACAACAGTCATTTTCTGAGTTGTAGTCAGCGTCGAGTGAGTGAGTGAGTTTAGTTTTACGCCGCCCTCAGCAATATTCCAGCTATATGGTGGCGGTCTGTAAATAATCAAGTCTGGACCACACAATCCAGTGATCAACATCATGAGCATCGTTCCATGCAATTGGGACACGATGACATGTGTCAACCATGTCAGCAAGCCTAACCACCTGATCCCCTTAGTCGTCTCTTACTACAAGCATGGATTTCTGAAGATCAATTCTAACCCGGATCTTCACGGGTCGATAGCTTTGTTAAAAGGGGACCACCGGTGCTCCAAAACAATCCTATCCGCTGTTGATCCCTGGATTGTCTGGTCCAGACTCGCGCTATGACTGTCATAATGAGTCTATGTTACAGTATAATGAGGTACAACAGTCGTAGCGTTATGATAGCTTTGTGAAACGGGGCCCTGAGCAACAAGCTCAGCAAAATATAATAGTTATCTTAATGTCACATTGCCCTTTCGTAAAAGACATATTGTGACATGCTTATTCAAGAAAAATTGTATGATTTTCTTGGCCAATCAACAGCCACAATAGTCATATGTTAGATATTTCAGTAATAATTACCATATATAACCACATGGTTTTCTGTACTCTTGTAGCTAATAGTTAATCTTTATTCATTGTTATCAGTGCTAGCCGGTTAATGTCACTATAACTTGAGAATAATAACTTATTAATATCTGATGTATTGAATCTGGTGATGCCTCATAACTACCTCTATCCGTCTCTCCATATTGAATCATGTTGCTATTCTTGCTGTCACAGTAACACGATAAGGATGTAACTAGGAAAACATTTCATTATTTAATTATTACCTTCTGGTCAAAAGGTTTCTTATTCCTATGGGATGTGTGGATTGTCATGGTGTCCATTACTTTACAGCTCATGTTGGAGAGTTATTTTCTTTACCACTGTGCACGTGTTGGAGGGTTTTAAAAATGTTAGTCATGGTTCGTCAAATGTTCTTAATGAAGAAATAAATGGCCTGATGTATGGTTGTGTCACTTTGGACTCTTTCTGGCAAGTGCTTAAAAACGCATTTCTTTTTCTCATTGTAAAGATAGACATGACTACTCCATACGTCAAGATATTCATTAATAACATATTTACACACAAAGAAAACAGCATTGGGGACTGACAACACCTTTAGTTGATGCCTTTGAGCTTCTTTGCAAAATAATTTGACCCAAAATTCATTGCAGATGGTGAGTACATATAAAATTTCATCTTCCAAATTAACTTACTGACTGTGAGAGAAAAGAAACAAGTTTGAACTTGACAAGGCGCTGTATTCAGTGTTGGTTGTTGATGGTTTTTCACAAAATTTGCATCGGCTGAAAGTACGAGTCGACATGTTTATAAACAGTATTTGGTTTGTTTTCCAAACTGCTATGAATCAGTCTGCACATTGACAAGACAGACTCCATTGTCTGAAAAATAATTTTTAGGTGTATTGGTTTTTCTGATTTAATTATAGTGAGTGAGTGAGTTTAGTTTTACGCAACTTTCAGCAATATTCCAGCAATATCACGGCGGGGGACACCAGAAATGAGCTTCACACATTGTGCCCATCTGGGGAATTGAACCCGGGTCTTCAGCGTGATGAGCGAACGCCTTAACCACTAGGCTACCCCACCAAACCTGATTTAATTATAAATAAAAATGGTAGGACAAAGGCGATTCCAATTTAATTTGTTCAAGTCTTGACTCCTAACTAATTGATTACTACATTTCGCTTGTCACCCATTATTGATTGGATTCCCCACAAGGGCAACCTACATTTTTCTTGAAAGTTGTGACAGTATGTAATGGGGCGGACAGGATCACCTCATGTTGTAAGATGGATTGTTTCTCAGACTGAACCAGGGAAGGTAAGGTAAGGAAGCCTACCATTTTCTGGTCAAGCCAAGGGCCTGGATTCGATTCCCCACATAGGTTCAATGTGTGAAGCCCATTCGTGGTGTCCCTCGCCATGTTATTGCTGGAATATTGATAAAAGTAACATAAAACCTAACTCACTCACTCATACTGGGAAGGTGCCATTGGGCCCTTACATATTTTGGCTACAGTATTTAGATCTTGAGACCCCTACACTGTATGTTTTTATCTATAACAAAGTCACAACTTTTTGTTTCTATGGACAATATGAAACAGTATTACTGAATAAGAAAACAAGTGCATTTAGCTGTCTTGCTTGACGTTCACTTATTTGGGTTTTCAGTATATATATGAAATCCAACAGCTACGGAAGGAAAGATTTATTTGAAACATATACAGAGTCTATATCCCTGAGAAGGAACCTTGGCAGAATTGTATAGGCTACATTATGATGGAGCATGGCTAGATGCTGTTGTAACTCTCATCCTTACACAGATTTATGGCAACAGTGGTACCAAGACGAAGACGTGAAGTTCCTTGGTAATCTTAGAATTCAACTGTCATGGCAACAGTTGATGTATGGTCAGATACTTACAGTGTTGGATGCCAAGGAATTGAGTTAATGGGTCCTTGTAACAACGCTAATGCTAGACATTATAGATTTAGGGGATCCCTAGATTAAAAAGTACAGTTGCAAACCACAAGGACCTCTTGGCCCCCAAAAAGGGCAATTAAGGCTTGAGCCAAATGGCTGTCAGAGAGAGTGCTATTCAAGGCACTGTAAAGCAAATTTTCCTGTAAACACTGTATTTATGATGTATCCATCGAGCAAGGAATTATCATCCCAATAATACAGAGATATTATGTCTCAGTTTCAAGCAAGTCACTAATTACAAGGTCTAGACCACCAATGGCGATAGGCACCAGACTGTGGAACCTAATGCTTCTATATTTCCAACACTGACATGTCCAGAAAGGAACCTTGGCTGTGACGGACTGGTTTAAACAATCCTGCTTCCGGTAAAGCACTGGGATCAGCGATGTGTCTGTCTGGTGAGAGCAACTTGCCCTGATATATTGAGATCCTGTTGGCTATCACATAAGACGAATCTTATTTACCAGTTCATTATTAGAATGATCTATAAACATGGGGCTGTCAGTGTAGCTATGATTCATCATGCTACCTTATTGCTGGTATATGTCTCCGTGTAGTGTAAGTGGGTTGTATTCCATGAGGATCACCTTACTGATGCTATGTTATTGTATTCTCCTAAACACATTACATGCTTTGATTCCTAGTTGTCCAGTGGCTTCAGTTTTTCTCACCACACACATAATGTTCAACCCATGAAGATATGGGTTAGAATTGATCTTCAATAACCCATGCATTTCGTAAGAGGGGACTAACGGGATCAGTGGTCAGGCTCGCTGACTTGATTCATGTTTATGATTATTTACAGACCGCCACCATATAGCTGGAATATTGCTGAGTACAGCGTAAAACTAAACTCACTCACTCAATCATAATGATCACATATCATAGAAGCTTTTCTTAAAAAGTGTGGTGAATTTTATACCACACTCTGTTGATGGACTGGGTACAGAGGCAGTGTCATAGATGTAAAGGAACCAGATTGTTACATTAAATGTGTGTCAGTATTGTTTTCTTCATCAAGTGACAAGAATTCCTATTTTGATGTCTTGGCTTGTCTCCATATAGAAGGAAATAACACTTGGGTGGCATGTGCTGGACACCGTCCAAAATGTCTGATATGCCTGGTCAGTGCTCAGGTGTTTATCCATTGATCGTGAGGGCAGCACTGAGCATTTCTAACAGGTGCTTTTCTGAATACTGGACATGCTTCATTCTCAGTCATCATTACTGAAGTGGGTAGAAAATATATTTGAAGACTTCGTCAAGTCAAGTGTTATTTAGCAATCATAGGTTAGATTGATGATGTTCCATTCAGTAGGTGAAGCGTAGTTTCTAGTTACCAATAAGAAATAAAGTATGATTTCTTGAAGCGTGAGAAGAAATGAGTATCTATCTTTGAATACAATCGGATTAGGATTATACAGATCATCTGTATTCCATTATGTACCCCTTCTTGTTTTAAGAAAAAAGGACTTGACAAACAGGGTGGTAAAAGACAGAAAAGAAACACCTGTAACCTTGTTTTTTCGGTCCTGTATGTCAATATTTGAAAATACCATAACATTTGTCCTAGTTATGGTACCGTTATTATATATTTTGCCAACTTATTTTTTTAAATAACTGAAAACCATGTTGACTACACAGTTATAACTAGACATAGACATGCATGATGTAAAAGTTTTGTTTTCTTCCAGGCTGCCAAACTAGCAACAACAACTGCCAAGAAGACCAAGGAGCTTGGCCAGAGTGTTAATGATTCTGTCATCAAACCCACCAAGGAAAAGGTAGTGCCTTGTTCTATATCCAGAACAGTCCACAGTTCCATCTCCTCTGTCATCTCTTGTCTCTCTGTATGACAGCATGCTTTAAATACTGTTGCTCAGGATCTTCAGCCTGGTCCTGGGGCTCTTGGTCTCTTCTTCCTATCAGATGGCCTTGCCATCAGACACTTGGTGTTCCGAGCTAAATATGATTACTTCCAAAAATGAAGTGACATTTCAGCCACAAGTGATGCTCTTTCATAACTGATTACATTCTATAGTAAGGATCACTCATAATTTCATATGAAAGTAAAATTTATCATCTGTCTTTTCTGAATTAACTCTCAGACGAGACACGTTGGTTTTTGGTTACAAATTGATATGATCATTTGGACAGACATGATTTGAAAGCTGTGATATGAAGGTATTTGTGGTTTCAGATATGTAAACGGTGGTTAGATTATTTCCAAGTTTATATATCAACATTATTATTTAAAAAGCTCATTTAAGCAGTACTTCTTATTATGTTGCATTAATATTAGATACTTTGACACCTGAACATTCAGGCTACAGAGCAGTGTCTGTGTCTTGTTATTGTCATTCATTTTTGTAGATAGTACATACAATAGAATGTCTTTTGCAATGAATTGGCTATTATTTTATTCATTTTTATATCTTACTTCATTATTCAAAGTATAATTATCAATTGTTAAAAATAAAACAAAGTGAAGGCAAGAATTTGGAAGTGGCTCACTTTGCTCTCTTTGAGCTTTGTGGATTTAGAATAAATTATGTACTGCAGAGAGATGACACGTGGAGATTGGTCTGTAACCATGTTGCAGCTCGTTAGGTTTCCACTGGGAACCTGTCAGTGTGAAAATGTTGAGCATGTTATTCCTGTAGTCGTTTGATGTTGCATGGCTGTTGTGTGTAGAATGGCTGGACTGTTTGTAGTGGGCATGATAGAAACATACGGATTTGCTTTCTTGTTGCACCAAATTCCTTCATCTTCTTTCCTGACTGTATGCTTCTGTGATGCCGTAACTTGACATAACCAACAAGCGAGGCTGGCGGAATGAGTGTATTACTTACTGATTATTCCATTTATCGGCAAATTGACAGTTTAGCGGGCGAAAGGAATTTCTCGCACTTGCAACATTTCATCTCAGATCCTACTCTTCAGAAGTTTCAAGATAATGATGTGTGACCCGTGCCCATATGACATCAGAAATATGTTTACAGCAAACAGTGTCTGTTTGATGTTGGTTTCTCGTCCCATATGGAACCAAGGTTCTGTGGCATCAGATATAAGCTAGCCCATAGCAGCCCACCTCTTTGATGCCCGTAAAATGATGCGAGCAGAAAGATATTGATTTTCCTCTCCTTCAGGATGTAAGCGTTAGAGCAATGATAGATATAGGTCTCCGTGGGGTTAGGGTGTCCGACAAAAGATGATCAAGGGATATTTTGTGACAGACACTGTATGTTATCCTCCTGCCCCTTTTTGTCACTTGCTGGACTATTTCTGTACCAGTCAAGAAAGCAGCTGTCAAATCTGGGTCTTTGGAAGTCATCCATGCAAGATGTTTGCTTCCATTTTGCTGTTTGCCCGGGATTCCTATATATTACATAGCACTGAGCTGATGTTTCGGCTGTCAGTGGAGTATTAGACATGTCAATAATTGACACATTGCACAACCAGCGCAGTTAGCAGATTGGAATCACTAAATCATGCAAGTCTGCAAAGTGAAAATTTTCATTTTGGTTTTTCAATATGAGATCTGTGATAAAATGGAGGTAATGGAGCAGCAGTATCTGCAGTTTTATTGTGTCAATACTTGGGTCAGTTTTCTCCCTTTGGTTTCTCTTTTATAGGGTGGTTGTGAGGTAGCCTAGTCGTTAAAGCGTTTGCTTGTCACGCTGAAGATCCGGGTTCGATTCCCCACATTGGTACAATGTGTGAAACCCATTTCTGGTGTCCCCCGCCATGATATTGCTGGAATATTGCTAAAAGCGGTGTAGAACCATATTTACTCACTCACTCACTCACTAACTCTAATAGGCCTGGTGCTGGGGTAGCCTAATGGTTACAGTGTTTGCTCGTCATGCTGGAAACCCGGGTTTGATTCCTCACATGGGCACAATGTGTGAAGCTGGATTTCCAGTGGACCCCACCGTCATATTGTTAAAAGCGGCTTAAAACCTTACTCACTCACTCTAATTCCAGTAATCCATGCTTAATGTTAGCTGAGAAAGAAGGATTGGAGGTGACAGTGTCTGCTGAGCAGGAATAGTACTTTCCTAAGTGACGAATAGGAAAGTGATTGGACCAAATGTTTGTTCAAGCTCCTGATGTAGATGATGCTCACAATATAAACACCTGGTTTGTGTGGTCTGTGTTTATTACATGCTGGCTGATCTTTGGGACTTTTGAGTAATGGTACTGAATGTTGATAGTACCTTGCAATCTGGAAACACTGAGTCATTCTGCTAAAATGGAATGATCAGTGTTCAATCTTTTAAGACTGATTTGCCTTGCAGGACGCCAAGACTTGGCGGTAATATTGTGACTATGTGCTGTACACTGGTCTTTCCCTGCACTAAATTTGTCCCAACCTCTCAGTTTTGTTGGGTCTTTTAATCATGGCCTTCTTAGGGATTTCAGAATTGTATTTATGAAATGATTTGTATGATTCCTTTTAGCAGCCAGGCAGTCACAATTACCCACTCACTAGGAAAATCTATTCCAGAAGCTGTTTCTAACGATGATGAACACTTGTCCCATGCTGAGGGTGAATTAATTGTTCAGTCAGACAATGGCAATAATCAATAGTTAGATACTGCGACTGTCACACTCAAAGGTGCTAACAGGACAATTAGTCAGATGGACTTTGTTCACCCATGGACAGATTTTTTCACATATTTCTGTCAAATCTTTGACACTCTTGCTGCAGCCATGCACTTGGGTCCTTCTTGCCAATCCTTTTGCACTAATGGACCCAATCCTAGTGAATCTGGCTGCAGCCAAGGTCTCCAGTCCTTGTCACTCCTGCTGCAGCCATTGAGTCCTTCTTGCCAATCCTTCTGCAGCAATGGACCCAATCCTAGTGAATCTGGCTGCAGCCAAGGTCTCCAGTCCTTGTCACTCCTGCTGCAGCCATTGAGTCCTTCTTGCCAATCCTTCTGCAGCAATGGACCCAATCCTAGTGAATCTGGCTGCAGCCAAGGTCTCCAGTCCTTGTCACTCCTGCTGCAGCCATTGAGTCCTTCTTGCCAATCCTTCTGCAGCAATGGACCCAATCCTAGTGAATCTGGCTGCAGCCAAGGTCTCCAGTCCTTGTCACTCCTTCTGCAGCCATTGAGTCCTTTTTAGCAATCCTCGACCGCCTCCGTGGTGTAGTGGTTAGAGCGTCTGCCAGGAGAGCGGAAGGTCGTGGGTTCGATCCCCGACCGCATCCTACCAAGAGACGTTAAAATATGGTACTTGTTGGTCCCTGCCTGGCGCTCGGCACTAATGGGTACAACAACGACTGGTCGGCTCGGAGTCAGTATAATGTGTCTGAGTGGGGTATTCATGCTTCACTGCGGCATGGTATCTCAGTGGGCTAGCACTATAAAACCAGCTTCAGTCTGGGCTAGTACAAGCAGCCGCACATACACATACACACGCATGCACGTCGTCATATGAGCGAAATATTCTTAAGTACGACGTAAAACCCAATTTCACCACACCTCACCTCTTAGCAATCCTTCTGCAGCAATGGACTCAATCCTAATGAATCTGGCTGCAGGCATGAATGCTGTGGTTTATATTAATGTTGAACAGCAGATACTCTCAAGTGACCCATACATTTTTTTGAAGATTCTTGTGTTGAAATCTGCAGGTTACTGTTATCCACGCAATTAGATTGAAGATTTATGACTGTTCCAGGGATCTCTTAAAACACCCTAGTATTGCATTTTTGTAGTGACTAGAAATGTACTTACTGTAGGAAAGTAGGACTGTAAATAGATATTCCTTTTGTACATTAGACTAAACAATACCTTTGGGCATGGTGTGAATGGTTGTTTTAGATGCTCTTTCACCACTATCTAAACTAGTATCCTACCTTGTTTTAATACTCCTCTATGTCATTCAATGCACAGTGCTTCTGATAGCCTAGCAAGCATTGATCAGTGACCCACCAAAAAGACCGATCACCTTCCATTTCTAAGCAATATGCCCATATATTTCTTTCCATCATTTACGCAATACTTAGCTATTGATTAAGATGCATTCAAGGCCATCTGAAGCACTGAAATATGAATTATTATTTTTTAAAAAGTTTGATCATCAGGTGTACATTTATCTGAATGATGACTGGATCTTATCCAGTTTGTTGTTAAAACATGGTTCATCTCTCAAGTAAATTCATTTTATCGCTTTGAAGTTTGGGATCCATTGACTTTCTCTGATGATCAAACTTTCATTTTGTTTTGTTTGTAGTCCTTTGATTTCTTTTGTTGCATGTTGATGTTTGTGTGTCTATTTTCACCCAATCAGGTGGCAGAGGGCAAGATTTTCACCGATGTGTCGGCATCAGTTGTAAACTTTACCGACAAAGTAAGTTATCATGTTCAGCACTTGTTTTGTTCTTGCTTCTTTTTGTCAGTGGTAAGTGATTCAAGTTTGCTTCACTGTATAAGCTTGTTCATGTTCTTTGATAATCACCAAGACATTTTAGTTGTTGCTTTGATACTGGGGCTGAGTTGGTCCCCAGTGTCCTGTCCTAAATGTTACAAGAGGGGATTATGTGAGAGGCAGGTGTCTGCAATAACTGCCAATGAAATGGATGGTACTTGGACAGAGATGTGATAACAATTATAACATCTAATCCTGGGATACTCCTGGTGGGTTACATGGGAGACAGGTATCTACAATAACTGCCGTTGATATGGATAGTACTTGGACAGACATGTGACTACAACACCTAATCCTGGGATTACTCCTGGGTGTTCTACAGGGTTCCGTTGCACAAAGCTAAGGTGATCATAACTCCCTAAATCTAACATAGACTTACAATAGTCTTGCTGCTTGGTGAAATGGAGCCCTGGGCCTAGATTGTTGAAGCTCTCTTAGCGCTAAGATAGTCGTTAGTGCCATGCATTAACATTAACTTACGACTATCTTAGCACTAAGAGAGCTTCGAAAATCTAGGCCTTGTTCCACAAAGTGACCTTAGTACCATGACTATCATAAGCCAGTGTTAAAGTATGGCGGTCCGATTGCTTTGTGGTAAGAGGCCCTCAGGTCCCCACCACCTTATGCTTGTTTGCTGTAACACTTGACTAAATTAAAAGGGCTGTGGGGTAGCCTAGTAGTTGAAGTGTTCACTTGCCATGCCAAAGACCTGGGTTCGATATGTGAAGCTCATTTCTGATGTCGCCTTTGGTAATATTGCTGGAATATTGTTAAAAGCAACGTAAAACCATACTCACTCACCCACTCTGTAAATTAGAATGAAATTGAGATGGTTACAATTTGTGATCTACCTGCTTGTATGAAGAATCCCTACATTTAGTAGCCATTGTCTGGCTTACCTTGCCCAGACTTGATCACAGTTGACATTTAGCTAGAATATTGCTGTCTACAGTATAAAACAAACTTTACTTTATCACTTATCCTTCAGTGACCAGCCAGCACTTAAAACCATTTCCTTGTTTTGACTGTAGGATATTTAGATTTAGTTATTTCTGTTATGAAAGTCTTGCAGGTTAATGATCAGAAGTGTCCTGCCTGTCCATGCATTTATGCTGACCACTCATCCTGACAAGGACCTTCTACAAACACCTTCATGCAAACACTTTGCTTGAGTTGTCTGCTAAAAATTCAATATCCTATTTCAGCTTTCAAAATCTTAATCAAACACTCATAAAGGAAGCCATTTGTCTCTGAAATATCTCAGTCCCACAAGCAGAGTCAAGCTCTTAAATGTTCACACTTAAGCTTAGGGTCATATTGACCCATCTCAGGGCGCAAACTGTCATCTTGAAAGTGGAATTACTCCCAAGGATTAAATCATCAAATTCCAATCTCATCCTGAAGTGATTACACACACGATGGTTCTGATATCCGTAAAAGCATAGCCTGTGAGTCCGAATTGTCTGGAGACTTTAGCGAGCAATCCATATCACAGCGGAAATGGACAGAGCTAACATGATTACATTCTTCGACGACAGTGAACAGTTGCCATGGTTCAGATCTCACACGGGGTAAATGGTAATAGAACAGCAACCTTCAGAGTATTAATGGATCAAGTAAACCATTATCTGAATAATGTTGTGATTAAAAAGACCATAAGCATGGTAGCACTGGAGATAGAGCATCAGCTTTTTTGGGCCAGAGATCTGGGTTTGTTTCCCATAGTGGTACGTTAATTTGAAGCCTCTGTTTGGTGTCGCTTACCAGTACTTCATGGGGATTGTATTAGTTGGGACTTGATTAATATATTTTAATGTTTGGTGTCTCTTACCAGTACTTCATGGGGATTGTATTAGATGGGACTAAATTAATATATTTTAATGTTTGGTGTCTCTTACCAGTACTTCATGGGGAATATATTAGTTGGGACTTAAATTGTAATGCAATCAGATTTAACATGTTTGTTTTAATAGGTGGTAAATAACACAGGCATGATTTGTGTGAAAACCAGATTTTTGAAAGACTATGACTTGGCACTAGCTAAGCTTTTTGAATATGATGTTCACTGCTTGCATCAGATAAAGACGTTTACTCGTATGCATGTAGTAGAAGGCTGGACCAATCCATCACTCATCGTTCCTTTGTGCAAAGTGAAAAATTAATGAAATTTGAAATTCTATGTTTGATTTAAAACATCATTTTGTTTTTAATTTTGTAACTTTGATGCCTTCCTTTTTTAAATGTTCATAACACTTCAATCTAGACATCATTTCCTATTTTGCATCCTGCCTGTTGGCATATCGACCATGTTAAACAAGAAAAGGTTAATGATATATTTTGATCCTTTACCTCAAATTTAGGAGTCACAGATATCTGTTGGAATATTATCAGTTCTATTGGCATCATTATCGGGAATTTCATATTGTTTTTGTATAATCTATAGCCTGTTGACTTACAGTTAGGAATTATTACGGATGAATTATTGATGAAGTGAACATCTACAAATAATGTCGCCAAGAAAATATCACAGCTTTTTGGTTCTGAATAAGGAATGAGTTAGATTAAATCAATTTTAAAAATGGGATTTAAGCATGTTTAGAATAATCCATCCCTATAACTGTAGGGTACATCAAAATGGGTGTCAACTTTCTATCTAGACAGGGAATAAAAACATGGTGTTGATCATTACGAGGAAATGTTTGATTTGTTGAATCATTAGACTATGCACTGCTATGTCAAGAACTTGTTATCGTGTAGGTCTCAGTAGGTGCTGGTTGTCACTGATGTGACAGATGTTTTAGGGGAGATGTAGCCTTGCATTACAGGCATTGAAGCAAAGACCCGGGTTCGATTCCATCATTAAGGTACAGAGGAAGGCTGGGTGGACCCATCATTGAGGGTCCGTACACTGAGTTTATGTGGCTAAATGAACATTAACATTGATTACGACAGCTCTCTTGTGAATGATGGTCACTTTATCCTCTGGTCTGTAATAATGAAGCTGTACCATGGCACCAGTGGTGGATAGCATGAACAACGATCCATACATGACGACACACATTCAACCAGGTCACAAATGGAGGATTATAGATGATGAGATCTAACACCTGGCAAACCAGTGATTTACATCATCAACTACAAATGACGATAAATGGTGATATCTCACCATTGCAGCATGTAATCAACAATGTCTGACACTGTAACCTCTAAATTATCATTAGTTGACCCTTATAATAATTGAAGATCGCCTCTGTGGTGTAGTGGTTAGAGCGTCCGCCAGGAGAGCGGAAGGTCGTGGGTTCGATCCCCAACCGCGTCATACCAAAAGACGTTAAAATATGGTACTTGTTGGTCCCTGCCTGGCGCTCGGCATTAATGGGTACAACAAGGACTGGTCAGTATAATGTGTCTGAGTGGGGTATTCATGCTTCACTGCGGCATGGTATCTCAGTGGGCTAGCACTATAAAACCAGCTTCAGTCTGGGCTAGTACAAGCAGCCGCACATACACATACACACGCATGCACGTCGTCATATGAGCAAAATATTCTCAAGTACGACGTTAAACCCAATTTCACCTCACCTCACCTATAATAATTGAGTGAGTTTACTCTTACATCGCGTTTAGCAATATTCCAGCAATATCACGGTGGGGGACACCAGAAATGGGCTTCACAGATTGTGCCCATGTGGGGAATCGAACCCGGGTCTTTAACATGACGAGCAAACGCCTTAACCACTAGGCTAGCCCACCGTGCTCCCCTTTCATAAACATGTGGTACATTGTGACTGTTCATGTCTTATAATCTTATAATAAGGGCCAGTAAGTAGTAATTGTGTTTGACTTGTGTCACCTTAACTCACAATGGTCTCCAGCGTTACAAAACGACCAGCTGCTGAAGTAGGTTGAAATACAAGCAGCATCATGCACCTCAGCTTCCTACCTTGTTAAATAACGAATGCGATTTCAAATACCAATCGTCAGATAACAATTGATTTAGGTGTGTTTTACATTGTTATAAGTATAATCAGCATCATTATTTTAACAAAAGGATGACTTTTTTTTCTTCTAAAAATACCAAATGATAGGGAGCTGTCAGGTGTTACATATTTGCGTTACCTTGCTGAGATGTAGGTGTCCGTGCAGATGGTGATATGGGGTCATCGTTGTTATCTTATACCCCTCTGCTGGTTGCTTCATCTCATGCTAGTGTTTCCAGATCATTTATTTCACATCTGTGGATTTGATCTCATAAATAACACTTGGCAACTAGTTCTGCCTACTATCGACAGGTCTTTCGTTTTTTCACCTCTAGAATTTACGGTATGTTATGGATATACCAGTCTTTTCATAATCATCCCCAGAGCTTTTCCACAGCATTTATTTACCAATTTTTCCTTGCTTTGTGACAATGCAGACAAACTATTAGGTTCTTTTATACATGCAGTAGTAGCCTGGGCATCCATTACTCATGCAAATGCTGTGTGGCTGGTTACATGTCTGGCCAAATGATCTTCAGTACCACAGCTGGAGTTGCATCCATCAGTACTTCATTGTTCTTTTCGATCGGCCAAGTGATCTTAGTACTACACTAGGGCCAAGGTTTTCGAAGATCTCTTAGTGCTAAGATAGTCGTAAGTTAATGTTAATGTATGGCACTTACAACCATTTTAACACTGGGAGAGCTTCAAAAATCTAGGTCCAGGGTGCCGTTGTACAAAGCGATCTTAGCGCTAAGGTGACCATAACTCCCATACCTTAACATAGACTTAGGGTAACCTTAGCGCTAAGGTTGTTTTGTACAAATGCACCCAGGTCAGTTACATCCATTGATCTTAGCACCACAGCTTGAGTTAATCCATCAGTCCTTCAATGTGTTGTATGTGATATGTTCCTCCATCAACCCTGAATACATGTGGTTGATATGTGCTGTATAAGTTATGCATTGTCTATGTTGAGTCACATCATGAAATTCATCTGAGCCCTGTTTCGCTAATGAATTTTGTGCGAACTCTATAGTTGCCTGATACAGGAGCAGTTTAGACTGGATGGATGCAATGATGCATGTGATGTAATCTGAGCCCTCATTGGTCAGAGCATTTGCTGCTTTCCCTGTAGACTAACAGCTAGTCTCTGAAATGAACATATTTTACAGAAAATAAAAGTTTTTAAATTAAGATTGTAAATACAATAAAAAGGAGCCCAGGACTTTCTTCATTTTCAGACTTGCCACATTTTCTAGACTCGCGTGGGCTTTCTTGGATATATTTGCTTCAGGGTCTGTACGACAGACTACTTTCCCTGTTGCTGAAACAAGGCTGAAGCCAAAACATTGTTTCAGAGAAACCAGTGATTAGTTGGTTACAAACTCACAACTGATGGAGGAGGTATACAAGCCTGTTAAAATTGATGAGTTTCATCTCTTAGTTTTATGATTGATGGATATAAAGGTTGTAGGTTTGAAACCCATGATATCCAGCATCCTTCGCTTGTCAAAAGGACAGTGACAGTATTTTGCTTGAATAATGATACTATAGATCCAGTTGATCCAAATACTGATTTCCCACTCACCCAAGGAAAGTGTGAACTCTAGTATAGTTCACTTCAGATGAAGGGACTCGTGTCTTACATTGATAAACAGGGCTCGATTTAAGGGATGTTAACCTACTTGCACCAGGTGCAACCTAAGATAAAAACCTAGTTGCACAAGCCAAATTCCAGTTGCAATGTAGTGTGCTAAATAGTCAGAGGTTTTGGTGCACATAAACATATTTCCGTGACGTAGTACCCATGAAATCATAGCAACACAGATACGCAGCTGATCCCTGTTTACAAGAGTGAGTATGGTTTTATGCCGCTTTTAGCAATATTCCAGCAATATCACGGCGGCCTGTTTACAAGAGCTGTCATAGCCGAGAAGTGTCTATAAATGGCAATGTTTTGTTGCCATAGCTAGTCAAAGTTTAGAAGAAAACTGAACTGATATACTTAGATTTGTTATTGATTTATTTCTCAAAAATTGACTTGCACATGGTGCACTTTTGACTAATAACTAGGTTGCACTTTGTGATATTGAGTTGCACCAGTGCAAGTAACAAAGCACTAAATCGAGCCCTGATAAATAAAATAGCACTGTTTTCTTTGTTTTGGTCTTCACTGTAGGGTTGAATGTTTGAAACATGCAATTGACTTTCCATTCATGTCAAACTAAACCTATTTCATACCCATAATCCCATCATCTGTCATGGGTCAAACTTAAACATAAGCACACACTCACCACATTCAGGGGGCTCATCTGCATATCTACCATCTTTAATGTATGTATCGCCTTTCCTGTCACAGAATTAACAGAGGGGCAAAAAATACATTGAAGTTGGTAGGTACTCAAATTAACCACCATATTGTTGTATGTGTATACTCATGTCTTAAAGTTTGACCCGTGATTGATGATTCGATTGTAGCATGCATACTGTATGGCTTTGGACATATTGATAATCTGATCTGACTGCAGTTTGGTCAGCTGTGAATGATGAAGCTAATTTTGACTGTTTGTTCCCTCCCAGGTGAAGGACGGCTCCTTGATGAATGACGTCGGCAGCTCAATGAGCGGATTTGCTTCCAAGGTATGTAATGGGGGGGTCTTCTGGCGCTGTAGCATGTTTATGTTTGGGCTTTGGTATGGAGTCAATATTTAGGTCAAGTTGTAATCTTGACAGGAATATAACTTACAAGTTAATCTTTGTCACTTGAAGGAGTCTCTGTTCTTTTCACACTGCCTGATGGGAAATATATATACTTTTTCAAGACATATGAAACATGCACTGATGAAGGCTTAAACATGAGCTGATTTCTGTGGGTGATAATTAAATTTTATGATAGATGCTACATGTTCTTCCATGGATGACATGGAATATGGGACTGACATACATTGTAGAAAGTTCCAGATTTTAATGAAGGACTGTCGAAGGACTGATGAGGTGTATTTACAATCAGTCCTCTATACCCATCTGAATTTGTTACGGGCTGGGTCAAGGGTCAGGTTTTAATGAGCTGCATCTCTAACAAGGCCAGGTCAGCTAATGACTTCTTCCAATCACAATGGATAAACTGGATGCTGCAGTGTTTTGAAAACCAGCTGTCAGTGATCAATTTGGCACCTAGTGAAGGAACTGTGGTATTTGTACACTCTGTGACATGGATCAGTTCATGCTTTTCCCCTCATGTCAAGCTAACACACCTAATATAACTGTTCAAACAGTGTTAAATCCAAGTCACTCTCTCACTGTCTACATATAGTATGGAAAAGTTGGTGGCCCTGTGCCTCTCACATATTGATCATGCTTATTTTGATGAATTCCCAACATGCAGGTAAGAGTTATCTCCCTTTAGTTGTTCATGTTCAGAGCCAGCAGTGACACACAGTAATGGCTGAATGTTTTGTATGATCTTTCATCAACATGTATGACGTACAGATTCCCACACTGCTGTGTCATAGAAGACTGAGTGTTACAATTTGTTGATAATGTTGATGAGTAATGGTCAGTGTAAATTTCACTCACGGTTCCATAACATCCATGTCACTTGATGAAATATGTCAGGAAATTATTGATCTTTGTTAATTATGTATGCTTATTGCAATAAAGATGCAAACTGTAAAATGAATATGCAGAAGCATCAAGGATATTTGTTACTGATATTTTGTGTTACAAAAATTTGGGAAATATCTCCGGATTCATATTATGTGCCTGTGGCAGGCAATTTAGGACAAATTATTTTGTCATGATAGCTGCATCTTATTTTTGACATTTAGAAGAATTATTTAAAAATTTGAATATTGCCAGCGGTAGAATAATGTCGAACTAAACATCTAACCATCTTTATTTGTCCTGTTACGAAATGCAAGTCATTTTTGCTTTCTGTTATAAATCTACACTTTATCTGTAACAACAGTAAAAAAAGTGATTACAATTTCTTGATGGAAGTTAGTCTGCATTGTAAATACGTTTACATAATATAATTTGCTTGATTTCAACTTTGTTTTGCTGATAACTAAACACTTTGAAATATTTGGAATTGCCTTGTGTATAACATCATTAATGGACATTTTTACCTTCAACATTAAATATACTCTCATAATAACACACATGATAAGGGAAACAAAATGCCAAAAGGACTGCTGATTGATCGAAGTAAATTTCACATTAATCAGTTTAACCCAAGTGCAGAATGTTGGTGACTAACATAGCCACAGCTACTACATTAAACCAGTCCCTACAGTGAACGTAGATTACATGCAAGGATGGTTGGAGCTTGCTTTTTCAGCATCTTCTCAGTAACTGTCAACCCAAACACAGACAAATTTATATCTGTCCACCACACATCCCCATCAGTTATGTAATATAACTGTGCATGACGTCATTGTTAAGCACGGGATACAGACAGTGTGAGTATGTCATGGTTACCAAGGTTCAGTTCTTACATCAAGGAAAGAAATTGATTGTCAGCTTGCAACCAACAATGTTTATTTCCTGTGCTAATGCATGTTTTAAATGTTAAGGCAGTCATAAAAATCTAATCATTGTTCAAAGGGACGACTTCAGTAGAGTTCTTCTCATGTCTGAATGGTACAGTTCATTTGTCATCAGGTTGACTTATTTAAATCAGGATCTGAATAAGTGACTTTCACAGGTAAATAAGAACCTTTATATTCAGCAAGTTCAAACACACAAGTATTAAGTCTTTTTCAAGTTGTTTAGCTTACCTGACAGAAAGTCAAGTGAACTCATGTAATGGCCGGTTTGCCTGCGTCTACTAGGTGACATAAACACATGAACGTCATCTCCTCAGAAACTGTTAAACCAGTGAAGATACATGCACTTCACATGCATGCTTTCACACAAATGTTCACAACCTAATTTGTCCACGAGATTCTTCAGCAATTTCCAATATGGCCACCACAGCAGCCATATTGAATAAGCAACCCTTTTGGTCATAATATATACTATCATTTGTATTCAAAATAAAATGAAATTTGTTATGTGTGCAGTCTTCAACATGATGAGCAAACGCTTTAACCACTGGGCTACCTCACCACCCCCATCAAGTGGACTCAGACCATATTCAGCACAAACTCACTGTATTATTGGAATGTTGAGTTGTGAATATCTTGTAGTATTTTAGCCAGCCCACACTAAAGTGGACAGGGGACTCCAGAAATGGGCTTCACACATAGTACCCATGTGGGGAATCAAACCCGGATCTTCGGCCTGACAAGCAAACGCTTAAACCACTAGGCTACCCCGCCATTTCAGGGTCTGTATGATAGACTATAGCCAGCCAGCCCCAGGTCTGTGACACTTATCCCCAAATCTGGAACTGTAGCCACTACGCCATTGTTCAAATTATGTAAACTTTTCTTGTTTGGTAACATCAGGAAATGATAGCCTGTATAATAACAGTAAAATAACAACTGTTGATGATGTCAACAACAGATGCTAGTAGACAGGACCATAAATAAGAACTAAGAACCTTCCATTTTCCAGTATGATAAGTCTCCTGGCTCAGTTTATGTCTGCATGATCAAACACAAGCCCTGTAGGTTTGATTTTATCCCACCTATCTCACTACCAAATACTGAAGAGGAAATGATACAGCTGTCATATGATATTTATTATGATACATAGGTCCATATTGTGATACACAAATTCGTATTCAGTTTCTTTGAAACTTCCTGACTGTAAATATTTCAAAACTTTTCAAGCGTAAACCAAGCTGTAGACAAAGATTTGGCATTGCTATTTCTGGTTGATTACATTCTTTTTGTGATATATGACTGACAAAAGATGGGATTGTGAGTGTCATTTAATGAGTAGGAAGTATTTCAGCAAGTGTATCATCAGAAAAAATGCATTGCCTATTGTATCGTTGCACTTTAACTCACAATGCATCTGTGTATCATTTCGTCCATACCAAACACCCCTGCCCAACATCATTTTATTGCCCTGAGTACTTGCAGACAAAGAAAACTGCACCACTGACTTATATTGTTGACTGATGTTCATAAAAATAAAGTAAAAAATAAAATCCCTCTCTGACCTCACATGTAAATAAAAAAGTTAGATGTGATCAAAACTGAACTCATTCTAAGCATTTTATGGCTGCACTAATTGCTAAAAAATTCAAAGGGCACTAATGACAACATCAAGACCTGGACTCATGGCCCTTCTTAAATTGTCATGTGCTCGAGCTTTGACAATAATCAATGTCTGCTTTACAGAATTTACTACCCAATGCTTTTTGAGGCTCCGTTTTATGGGTATTGATGAGTTCATGTACTTGATTTCCTGATTATAAAGGATCATGTTGTCTCTGGTGCTGTGGTTTGTTGTTCTGAGTTGTGTCCCTTGTGGATGCCAGAATGTTAGGTCATATGTTCAGAAAACAGATGTTTCTGGCAAACTTTACACCCTTTTCCCTCAAGAAAAATCTAACACAATAAATGTGGATGAAAGCAATATTTCACTTGTGATTCACTCAGATCTCTTCAGGTTCCAGTTTCTAAATTTTGTGAATGTTTGAAATGTGATTGTGTGGACATATTTATGACAATGATTGATATGTTTTCTCTTTCATTGAACTTGATGAAAATATGCCTGGTTGTGATTCGTAGAAGCAGTTTTTTTACAGTAATTCAGAGTGTGTTTTGTGAGTTTTATGATATAGGTTTGGGACTTTAAACCAGAGTGTAATTTATCAGTTCTGTATTGCATAAGTTATGAATAACAAAAACACTACAAACTGGAAAAAATCCACTTTTTATGTCCTTATCAATTTAAGTTTGGTCAATGTGAATAGGAACCTGTCAATCTTGTATGCAGATTTCATTTTCGAGACATACAACAAAAGATAACTGAAAGTTTATGGAGTTCAAGTGAAGCATGGGGCAGCAGAGTAGCCCAGTGGTTAAGCGTTCGCTCGTCACACCGAAGACCCGGGTTCGATTCCCCACATGGGTACAATGTATGAAGCCCATTTCCGGTGTCTTCCACCGTGATGTTGCTGGAATATTGCGAAAAGCGGCGTAAAACCATATTCACTCACTCACGGATCTGATGTGATTCACCCAATATCTGAAGTTATGCTGGGATGAATAGCCTGTGGAAAATTACATATTCCCATGTTTCTGACTGTTAGAACAGCCTTGTCAATTTTGAGATAGCAGGCAGTATTACTAGTCAGTGGTAATCCATTTCGTTGGGATTGATACATTCAGCAATGTACATGCCCCGTCTGTGTGTAATTGACTGTAGTTTATATCACCTCTCTCCCACTGACTAATGTGCCGCCCCTGCCTTCGGATGCTGTACATGACAGATCAGTCATAATCAGTCCCATCTCTGACCTGCCCACAACATACCATGGATCAGTAACCTTCATCTATCACACCTCGTACATTGCTCTGCATGCCTCGTTCATTACATGTCATAACACATTTGACACAGCACTGTCGTCATTAGGGCCTGCATCATTAACCCTATGTCATTAGATTCTTCTTTGCTAAATGAACAGTGTTAAATAGCCTATTTCCTTCACTGATGATTGATTGTCAAGAGAATTAGATTGC